CATCCCCTGCCCCCGCATTGGCGCTGTGGCTCCTCTGCAGGACGGGCGTCCAGTCCTCACCAGCCCCGCATTTCGGGGTGCAGAGGCTGCTGTGGTGTGAGCCCGGGTCCCCCTCTGGGTCCAGGCACCCATTCCCCGGTGGCTGGGGGTGTTGGCTGCTGGTGGCCCACAGCTGAGCTGAGCCCTCTTTGAGGGTCCTACGTCCCCTCTCCTGCCAGTGACTGTGGCCCAGCTGGGGACAGCCCTGCAGGCCTCCTCAGTGTGCACTCCCGGGGCAGGGGCTGCGGTGACCGTCCCCTCCTCTGCAGGCAGCCTCCAGAGCTGGATGAGGCCAGGACACGGAGTCTCCCTTGGGCCTCCCGAAGGGGCCAGCCGGGCCCACACCTGTGGGGCCCAGCGAGACCCATCTCAGATTTCCAGCCTCCAGAATCGTAAGAGGACCAGCCACTCCGTTTGCGGAGCTTGGGAACAGCAGCCACAGGGCACTGACACGGGAGCTCTCTCTCCACCCTGCAGGTGCCCGGGGCCCGAGGAAGGCCACGGGTGAAAGGGCAGCAGGGGCTGGGGTGGGTCCCTCCTTCCAGCCTCTGCCCCTCTCCTGCCACCCCACCCTGCGCACCCCCACCAGGCACCCAGGGTGGGCGGCGTGCTGGCGGGCGGGCCTGCTCCCACCCACGTCCGTACGGGATGCCCCTGCCTCCGTGCCTCCTGGGTGTCTTCAAAACCCAGGAGAAGCTGGGGGGTTCCAGGGTTAGGATGTGACCGGGGACACAGGTGGGAGAGTCCCCGTGAGAGCCACGGCTCTGCTCACACACGGCGTCACCTTCCCGCCTCTGGGCTCTTCCCTGGGAGGTCCCTCTGCCTGGCCCGCCCTCCCCGTTATCCACATACGCTGTATCCAGCCATTAAAACGGTTATCCAGCCACATGCCTGTCAGGGCCAGACTCTAAACGTGGTCCGTCCCTGTAACAGGACATCATCCAGCCATGGGAAGGCACGAAGCTCCGACACACGCCACAACACAGATGAACCTTGAAAACATGCAGAGTGACAGAAGCCAGACACAAAAGGACACAGACTGCATGATGCCGTTCATGTGCAATGTCCAGGATAGGCAAATCCACGGAGACGGGAAGCAGAGTGTGGTTGCCAGGGCTGGGGAGGGGACAGGAAGCGGTGCCAAAGGGTCCGGTGGTGACAATGCTCTCAAATTGATTGTGGGGACGGCTGTGTCACTCTGGAAGTCTGCGGGAACCACTGAGCTGCACACTTTAACTGGGCGAATCACAGCTCCAAAAACCAGAGTTGTCACTTCCCTATACTGTGCCGGCCACTCCCTGAAACGCCAGTGCCACGCCCCAGTCCCAACGAAGTCCCTTAGAGGCGCCGCCTCCCAGGCGCCATGACACTGTGAACATTCACCACAGTTCCCTGGGGCCCCGGGGGTGACTTCCCTCAGCACAGCACCGCTGCTGCCCCCATTACTAAAAAACGTTTCCAGTGTGATTCTTTTTCTTTTTAGGCTGGTCAAATGAAGCAGTGGGAGTGGAGAAGCAACAAAAGAATTTGCAACTGGCTGTCATCAGTTAGTTATAAACACCGCTGCACGCACACCAGCTCATGGGGTTTTGAAAATCGCAGTAGAATGCACACAAGATTGACCGTTTTAACCATTGACCATTTTGACCACTTTAAGTATACAGTTCGGTGGCATTAAGTGCATTCGCAATGTTGTGCAACCATCACACCACCCACCTCCAGACCCTTTCCATCCCACGAAACTGAAACTCTGTGTCCATTAAATGACTCCCCGTCCCCTCTCCCTCCCAGCCCCTGGCAACCACCAGTTCACTTTCTGTCCCCATGAATTTGAGTCCTCTAAGGTGACTCACACAAGTGGAATCACACAGTACTTGCTTTTCCGTGTCTGGCTTCTTTCACTGAGCACAATGTCCCCCAGGCTCACCCGTGTTGAAGCACGTGTCAGGGCTTCGTTCCCTTTTGAGGCTGAATGATGTTCCATGTCACCCCATTTTAAAGGAGGGGACCCTGCAGCCACACAGCTGGGAGGTGGCAGGGCCAGAACTCACATTGAGGTTGGTCTCCAGCACCCGCTGCTGACTGCTCTGCCACCAGCCCCACCCACAGTGACACACCAGCCTCCCTGGGCCACCATGCCCCACCCCTGTCCCCATCTCTCTGCACTGAGGGACCCTGCAGCTTTGGACCACGCGCAGCACCTGGTGGAAGCGAATGGACTTGGGGGCCAGGCTGCAGGTCAAGGTGGTGGTACCTGTCTGTGCAGCACCCCCCGGGTCAGATTCCCCCAGACTCATGCTCTGCTCACAGCTGCCCCCAGGACCAGGGCCGCTGCACAGAGCTGTGCAGTTTGCAACCCGCACACCTGTACGCCACAGCCCGCCAATCCACCACGATAACCCTCAAGGCTCCCAAATCCAGGAGGCCTTGGGCTGTGCTCTGAGAAGAGGGAAGAAAGAACAGGAATGAGAGGCAGCCCCAGGACAAGTGAGATGTCCTCCAGGAAGCAGATAAGCAGATCAGTGGTTGCAGGCACTGAGGGAAGGAAGGAGGAGTGATGGCTTAATGGGAATAGTTTCCTTTCTGGGTGATGAAAATGTTCCGAAACTAGTGGTGGCGGTTGCACAACCCTGTGAATGTACTAAAAGCCACTGAACTATACACTAAGAAATGGTTTATATGGTAGCTTCTGTGTTAAGTGTATTCTGGCACAAGAAAAACGGGGGGCTTCACCCTGTTTGCCTCTCTCCCTCCAGCTTCAGGGACATCCCACAGCCCAGATCAAGGGCCCTTCCTGTCCCCTCAAGGGCCTGGTGCCTGGGTGCTCCCACTCCCGACCCCCACCTTCCCCCACCTGTTCCTGGTGTCACACGGACCCATCCAGCCGAGGACGCTGCCCTGCACTATGCCTTCCGGGGGCATCTGTGCTGGGCCTGGGCCTTGTGTGTCCCTCAAATAAGCGCATTACTAACGGCTGAGTTTCCTACAGCAGTGGCCCATCTGCCGGGAAGGTATTCAGAGACATGGGGCAGTTCCCATGGGGTTCCCCAAACCCACCTCCTCACAAGGCAGCTTTGCCTGGGTCCTTCCGCAGAGCAGGCAGGAAGCCGAGGAGAGAAATTCAGACCCTACGCTGGGACTGACTTCACGCCCCAGCATGCGCCTTCTCACTGGGGGCCAGGTGCCTGGCTGCCCTGCAGCTCAGGCCCGGAAGTCACATCTCCCTGGCACTTCGGCTGCAGCCTTTGGGGAAGGAGGCATTGGACAGCCAGAGTCCTGGGTTCGACTTCCTTACTAGCTATGTGACCTCGGGCAAGTTACTCAACCTCTCTGTGCCATAGTTTCCTTATCTATAAAATGAGGATTTTGACCTCATAAAGTTTTTAACTGAGATGAAATTCACATAATATAAAACTAACCATTTCAATGTGTACCGTTCAGTGGTTATTCCTAGCACATTCCTGATGTTGTGCAACTATGACCTCTATCGAGCTCCAAAACAGTTTTCACCACTGCAGGTGTTGTTCTGAGGGTTAGTACTGTACAGCTTTAGAATGGTGCCAGGCCCAGTGAGTGCCAGCTGGGCGCTCCAGAAGCGGCAGGAATAATTAGTAGAACAGTGTTAATAATAGGTAACCCCGGGTGGGTGGAGGTGGTTATTATTAATTCCCTTTCCTTGGGCTGCTGGAGAACCTCACCTCACTCTGGGCCCGGGTTCCCACTTCGAGCTCCCTGCACCCACAGGGCTGCCACGCCCCTCCCCCACCCCACGTCCTCCCTCAAGGTTGGGGGGCAGGGGAGGCGCGGGTAACAACAGCTGACAGTGTTGTCGCTCCCTTTGCGCCCCGCTGGCGCTCAGGCGGAACCCGGCGTCTCCCGGACGGGCCCAGGTTGGGGGGACGCCCCTGAACCGCCTGTCCCCCAACAACTCCCGGTGCGCGCGCTCCAGGAGCCATGGGCTGGCCTTTGCTGTCACCTTGTGGCAGGGACGGGAACTTCGCGTCCCGTTTCCGTCCGCGCCACCCTTCACCCAGCGCGCGGGGAGCGTCCCCGCCTGCCCGGACCCCAGCGAGGCCCTCGCGGGCACGCGCGCAGCCCCGGCCCCCGCCCTCGGGAGCCCCAGCCTCCCGGGAGAGCGTCAGCAACGCACGAGTAAGCAAAAGGATAAGCGCAAGGATCAGAACGGGACGCAGCGAGGGAGGGAGCGGGACAGGTGGTCACAGGCACGTGCGGCCACGTGTCCGACCCAGACCGGGGCCGTCGTCTCCCCGCGCGCACCTGTGGGGACGGGCGCCGTCTGGCTCCCGCGCGCGAAGGGCGAATTCGCCCAGCGCTGGTATACAGCAGGTGCTCAGGAAGGGTCGGTCGAACGGACACGCGGATGACGCTGCGCAGAGCAGCTTCTCGCCGGCCACACAGACGCGGCGCGGGAGCGAGCTGCCCGGCACCGGGGGCTGGAGGGGTGGGCGTGAGCCGAGGCCCCGGGGAGCCCGGCCTCCCGGCTCCGCACAGCCCCGCTCCTGCCCCTCTGCTTGGCATTTTCGCCATCCCGCATGCCGTGCTTGCCTCGTTGTTCAGCGCCTGTCGCGCCCACCGGAACGCGAACTCCACGAAGGCAGGGACTGTCGTGCGTGCTCACCGCCGGCGGCGGCGCCTGGGAGGGCCTGGCACCTGGCGGGCGCTGGCGAACGTGCGCCCAGGGCGCGGACCACGCACGGGCGGGGTCGGGGCGGGGCCAGCACGGGGGCTGCCCGAGGCGTGGCCAATCTGGAAGGAAGGGCTGGGCCGAGGGCGTGGTCCAAGCAAGGTACGCGTAAAATAAGGGGAGGGGCTAGAACTAGGGCGGAGCCAGAGCGGGGCGGGGCCATTCCGGGGCGGGATCAATCAGGGGCGGGGCCAAGTCAAGCGGCGTGGGCGGGGCCATGTCCGGGGGGCGGGGCCATTCTGGGGGCGGGGCCATGCCGGGATCTCCGCTGTCCCGGGTCCTGGAGCGCTCCGGGCCACGCAGGTCTCGCCCCCGCCCCTCCCGCGTCTCCCCGGCTGGCCTGGCCCGCCGCAGGGTGTGCAGGGCGGGACTCCTAGGGCTGAGCCGCCACGATCGGCCCCCGCCCCAGACTCTGCGCTCCGGGCCAGGCGGCGAGCTCAGCTCCTGAGCCAGTTGAACACCCAGAGCGAGGCCCCCAGGCTGCGTCCCCGGAGGCGAGGGTGAGTGAGCGGGGCTACAGGGGCAGATGCGTGCATGTGTGTGTGAGTGCCTTTATGTGTGTGTACGTGTGTGAGTGCCTTTATGTGTGTGTACGTGTGTGTATGTGCATGTGCGCATGGCCGTGTGTGCATGTGTGGACGTCTGTGCGCACCAAGGGAACCGTGTGTGTGTGGAGTTGGGCAGGTGTGTGCTCCCGGGAGCTGGGCGTGTGTGAAAAGTTGTGGGCGTGTGCAAGGGAGGTCCCATGAGGGAGGGGAGCCTGCATGTGCGCGTGTGTGCGACAGAGACAGTGCCTATGAAATTTGGTGGAGGCTGTGTGTGTATGTCAGGGTGTCTTGGAGGAAAGTGGGAGGAAAAGTGCAGGGACACTTGGGGAGACTACCGGTCAGGACGTGCGTGGCAAGCTGTGGGTGCAGGCGCGAAGGGAGTAGTGGGAGTGTAGGAATTGCAAATATGCATGTGTTCCTGGGGGTGGCAGAGACTTCTGGGGCCTTCAGTGTGAAGGGATGGGGATGGAGGAAAATTTGGGGTGCTGACAGTCCTTGGGAGAGTGAGCATGGTCTGGGGCAGGACAGGTGTCTGGGGCCTGACCCGAGTAATTTGGGGATCATCTTGGCCTTCTCACTTAGAGGGCTTGGGAGACGTGTGGGTGGGGCTGGGGGGCTGGGCCTACCCTTCCCAGTAGTGGGCAGTGTCCCTGCCTCATGTGGAGGGAGCTGCCACCTCACCAGTCACCCTTCACCCAGGCTCCGTGCTCGCCCCTGCCTGGTGACTTCCGCTGGCGCTCCGGTGTGAACATGGTGCAGAAGTACCAATCTCCTGTTCGTGTCTACAAGTACCCATTTGAGCTGGTCATGGCGGTGAGTGACCCCTGACTCTTGGGCCCCTCAAGTGACAGTTGGAGGGACTCAGGAGGTTAGCTATAACAGGAGAAAGAGGAATCAGCTCGGACCTCCAGATCACAAGGAGCTTTTGAGCTGCTTGGCTGATCTCGTGGGTCAGACATCTAACCAATGACACCTCGGCCCAGCCATCCCCTTCCGCCTTCCACCAGAACCTCTGGAGCCCCGGCCCAGCGACCAAAACACAAGGTTTTTCTTTCTTCTCCTTGTTGAAGTTTGCCTCTCCTCCCACCTTAGACTCCCCTGACAGAAAACAAAGATCTGGGCCACCCACTGCTGTCCTTTTGTGTAATGATCATAATGATCATGGTAAATATGACAACAATGACGATGACAGCAGCCACTCATTGCATATTTAAAGTGCTAGGTCCTTATGTATGAAGTTCCCTCCAATAGCTGTCATTATTCCCATTTCTCTTCCACTAAACTGAGACTTGGAAAGGTAGAGGAATGACACCAAGTTCTGTAGCTAGGAAGAGGTGGAGTCAGGCTCAGATCTGTGCAGAGGGGACTCCAGAGCCTTGATTCTAATTGCAACCCCCCAGGATCCTCCTGTGCAAAGACCTTTTCTCCCCTTCAAGGAAGCTGAAACCAGGAGGAGAGAGGGGGTGAGTGGTAAGGGGTCTGGGTGCTCAGAGTAGCTATGTGGCATACTTAGGTTGTGCAGAAAGTAGTTTGAGGCTAGAATTGGCTCCCAGGTTCTTGGCCTCCTGGGTCTGTGGTCTATGCATCAAGGGCAGGTGCTGGAGCCAGGCACATGTGGGATCCCAGCCCGGCCCCATCACTCTGGCTCTCTGAGCTTCAGTCATGGCAGGGCAATGCTGTGGGGTTGCAGTGAGGAGTAAATGCGATAATTCATGGTGTCCTGGCTGTGTGCTGGGCACACAGTAGGAACTCACAAAATGTGGGTGTCCCAGAATTCACCCAACCCTCCTGCCCCACCCCTGGATGCTTAACCCCAGCCTTCTACCCAAGGACTAGCATATCCTTTGATGGCTCTGCATGTGTGTGTCCTGCCTTCTTCTATGAATCCGCACGCATATGTGTTTATAGTCGCATAAAGAGTTAAAAAGCATCACCGAAGTCATCGTTACACGTTGTGCTGTTGTGTGCAGATGGTCCCAGGAGAACAGAGAGGCAGGAGCTAGTCTGGGGTCATTCCCTGCTCCACAACTGGGGCACTTTGGGGCAAGTCATTTGACCTCTGTGAGCCTCCACGCCCATCTCTAAAATGAGAGTCACCGGGTTTCTAAAATCCTGGTGTCGTGCTGTGGATGAAATGAATCAATATATGTAAAGCAGATCAGGTGCTCGATGAGGTCTAGCTGTAACTGTTATTGTTTTGCCTGTGCGACTTGACTCCTTTGTAATGGGGGTGTGACGCTATGGGGCGATGAAAAGACTCTGGGTCTGGGTCCCTCCTGCTGCTCTGCCATGCTCTGGCTGTGTGTCTTTGGAAAGTTGCTGAACTTCTCTGAGCCTTTGTTTCTTCATTTGTTAAACAGGGATGATTATATGTAGCTCACAAGGTTGCCATGAGTATTAAAAGTGATTGTGTGTGTGTATGTGTGTGTATCCATACCAAGCAGACAATAAGTGGTAGATAAATATAAATAATCATCCTATGTTTAAGGCTCCCAGCAGCTCACATATTCTAAGACTCAAGGGCTTGTTCATTCATTCAATAGAAGAGAGAAGCTGTCTCCACTCTTCTGGAATAATCTAGGGACCCCTGGTTCTCTGCCATGAAGCTGAGACACATAACTATAAAATGGAAAACCAACTATTGCATGGGCTCAATAAATGTCAACTTAATTTAGCAGTTTTAGGGTTCTCAAAAATATTTGCAATTTTTGCATTTTAAAATAAATCATGCCCAGTCCGGGCACAGTGGCTCATGCCTGTAATCTTAGCACACTGAGAGGCCAAGGCAGGAGGATCGCTTGAGCTAAGGGGTTCAAGACCAGCTTGAGCAAGAGTGAAACCCCATCTCTACTAAAAATAGAAAAATTAGCTGCCACTGCACTCTACTCAGGGCTACAGAGTGAGACTCTGTCTCAAAACAAACAAACAACCACCCCACCAAAAAAAAACCATGCCCATTAATGTAGTACTTAGGGCTACATGGCTGTGTGAATAGAACTGGTAACTTACTTGCATTGCCTTTATTGGGATGTGTTAAATACATTTTGTAAGCTTCCTGTTGTGTAGAGGAAGGCAGGCTTGTTTGTTGCCTTAGCTGTTAACAGTCTCTAGGTGTTGACATACAGACACTTGTGGGTGGAGTAAAAAAATTTTTTTTTTCAAATATTTATCTGTTAATTTAAGTCATTCATATTTTTCAAAGGGACTGCCATGACCATGTCCTCTTATCTTCCATACAGCCCTTGTGTGTAAAATGGTCCCAAGCCACATGGCCGCAGACAAAGCTACTTTGCTGACTGTTTACAAAACATTATTGTCCCCAAAATAGCTGCATAACTCAACATAACTTGCGCGCTGTGTAGGCACAAAAGGGGTTTTCTGTACTTAATGTCCGTCTTTGTTTCTCAGCTAAACACTTGCCCTCAGTTTGGGTCAGATGCCGGGGAAGTTTCGGATGAACTCAGCTATTTTCACTGCATCCGAGTGACCGGGAGGAGCTGGCCTTTTGGTTTTTCTGTTTAACAAAACCGCCTTGAGAGTCAAAGTGCCCCTTGCCTCTTTAGAAGTCCACCAGCGATGACACAAATGGCTGAAATTGGGCTCGTGGAGTTGATTATAAAATAGCACTTAGAGGCAACCTTGTTAGACCCAACATAAAGAAATTTTTTTGAAATTAATTTTCCACTTAGAAAATTTATCTAATCAAATGAGTGGGCATCTCTCTCCAAATCCCTTGGTGTGAATTCTGCTTCCAAAGGGTGGGATCCCAGGGCATTTTTGCGTTCTCTTCTTTCTGGACAGCATTCTGTGTAATTTGATTCCAAACAATGCGCTTGCATCGCCGTGGCAAACAGAGGAACAACTAAGACGATTCAGGCAGCTTCAGTAGCCGTATCCAAGGTTGGAGGGGGTGATTGCTTTACCGAGACGTTTCTCACTTATCAGGTACTTCATCCATTGAAAGGACACCAGGCAGTGGGTTTCGTTCTAATATAGTTACAGAGCTGTGCAACCATCAGCCCAGCCAATTCCAGAACATTTTTATCACCCCCAAAAAGAAACCCCATATCATACCCGTGAGCCATGACCCCCTAATCTCACTGTGTTCCCCTGACCTGCCCCCCACCCCAGGCAACCACTAACCTGCTCTCTGTTTCTATGGATTTACCTATTCTGGAAGTTTCGCATAGACGACTCATACAGTTTGTGGCCTTCAGTGTCTGGCTTCTCTCACTACGATACGTTTTTTAGAACCCCCTTTATGGAGGTGCGATGGACATATAAAGAGCTGTACGTCTCAGCGAGTTTGGGAGAAGCACCCCCCCCACCCAGTGTGATGTTTCCAAGGTGTATCCATGTCGTGTATAGACTCTTCATTCCTTTTGGGGGCCAAATAACAGTTCCTTGTGTATGAACATATCACATTTTATTCATTCATTTATCAATTGATGGACATGTAAGTTGTTTTCAATTTTGGGCTATTATGAATAATGCTGCTATAAACATTTCTGCACAAGTTTTTGGATGAACATATTCTCTGCTGTGAATGAGGAGTGGTGGTTATTCGATGGGGCTAAGCAGATTCTAATTTAGATTTTGTTTAACAAACTCATACCTGGCACTTATTAAGCTCCAGACACTGTTCTGAGCCCATTCAAATACTGACTCCCGAGCTGGTGGTATAGTGTTGGGCACAGCTGCCTTCCAAATGCTGACTCCCGTACTCCCCACACCCACACGTGGGAGGAGCTCTGCGGGCAGCCCCAGCCAAACATGCGGCAGGTGGGGACATATGGATCCAGAATGTACATTCCCAGCCTCAAGCTCGGTGTTTCTCGTCGCTGGATTGAGGATGTGAAGTTCCTGGGGTGGCGTCTGGGCCGAGCGGCTGTTCCTGCTGGTGCAGTCGCCCTCACGATGTTGTCCCAGACGCCTGTGCCCCCTGGGGACCCTGGGGAGGGGAGCACGGCCCGATCCCAGACCCTGGTTCCTGGAGGGCAGAGGATGCTGATTATTAAACACCACGCGCTCCAGCCTGTCTGCCGGCTCAGAGGCAGGTCTACCGCAGCAGCCTGGTCTCTATGTAGCCACAGAGGAAACCGAGGCTCAGCAAGGCTGGGAAGCCCCTCCTTAGTGTATTAGCTGCTGTAACAAAGTGCCATAAACTGGTGGCTTAGGACAACAGGAATTGATTGCCTCTCGGGAGCTTGCAATTAAGGTGTCAGCAGGGTCACAGGCCCTCTGAAGGCTCAGGGGAGGGTCTGCTGCAGGCCTCCCTGGGGTTTCCCGGGCCGTGGCCCCGTAACTCCAGTCTTCGCATGGCGTTCTGTGTCCAAATTTCCCTCTCTTATAAAGCGCCAGTCATGTTGGATGTATAAGGACACTCCAACGACCTCATTTTAACTTGATCCCCTCTGTGAAGACCCTGTCTCCAAATAAGGTCACACTCCCAGGCACCCAGGGTGAGGGCTGTGACATGCTTATTTTAGGGGACACACTTCAGCCCACACGCTCAGTAAACGGCAGAGCTGGGATTCGAACGTCGGGAATCTGAGCCCGCAGCCCGAGCCTCCGGATTCTGGCTCTGCGGTTCCATAAGCATCTGTGGGTACCGTGGCTTCAGCAATGACCTGGTCCCCTCTTGTCCAGCCACTGCCCAGGTCTCCCTGTGGGATGCAAGCTCCAGGTGCTCCTGGCTTCAGGTCCTCTCCGATCCTGCAAATGCAAAGAAGGAAGGTGGCTCGGAGTAGAGTTTCCCGATCAATAGGCTTTTCATGCGGAGGGAGGGTTATGGAGGTGAGGTTCTGTGGTTC